AACACAGTACTTTGTTTGTCATCATTATATACAGTACTTCGACAGTTTTCATAAAACCATTTAAGAGATATTGTAGTATTTTAACGAGGCAATAAAGATATACCCTCTTGAGTAGATTAGGATTGAAAATTAGAAAGCTATATACCTGGACTTGCATCATCTATCGTAAGGGAATGTGAATTTTGAATATCGAAGTTGTCATCAGATCTATTAGAAGGTGAGGTAAACCCACGTGATGAAAGAACGGAAGCACTTCTTGTCAAGACTAATTCTTCATTATTATCATCGTCAACATCTGCATTCTTAGCGCTGATATCATCTCTGATATCTTTGATACTACCTCGATCCGCAACACCGATATTAACTGTAATCAACAAAAAGAATTAGTGCTCTGAATAAAATTTTTTTCTCATAACTGTCCTTCTCATAACTAATCCTTACCCAAGCTATCATGTTCATATGCATTCTTAGCACTGCGATATTTTAAAGTCTTACAAGACAAAGTAGTACTTTTTTCTTGGCATAAATTACTTTTCTTGTATTCAGCTATGTGCTGGTATTTTCTCTTGACGTTACCCTCAATTGGATTCTCAACAATGATGTGTTTTGTACCCTTATTATCTGAATTAATCTTTTTTAGAATTGTATAATTATTTTTGTTTTGTTCTCCACTTATTCGATTCAGAGACTGTTCTGAAAAGGGTTTCCGTTTGCAGAATGATACATTATTTAACATGGACTGTACTTTGTCTCGAACAACAGATTTAGCATTTTCCTGATTAAGATCATCTTCGCTGTCGCTGACTGCTATGGTACTGGTTTGGCATCTCTTTGGAAAAACATCATTATCCGAGTCGTCTGATTCAAATCGAATTGGTCTTTTCTTTTTCCTAGGTACCTCACAATCTGATACATTTGAATCTATATTCGTTTCCTCTTCTGCTTTTACTAGAGCCTTTCTAGCATTATTATAGGTTGCTAAAAAAAATAAAAATATGAACGATATGAAAGAAGAGCATACATTTTTTTTATGAAAAAATTCTATTGCAATATCATGCGCGCAATTATTAAAAATAGAATATTTATTTTCTTTATCCTTAAACTTTTAATTTTCGATTCTTTTTCATCTAACAAGAGTCTATATCTAACTATGAAATAATAATACAAATTAAATACAAATTCATATAAAAAATATCGTGTGAAACAGAAACAGTATTTTTTTAGCTAGCTTTTCTAGCTTTCTCAAAAAGGAAATATTACTATCAGACAGCTTTAATAATTCAATAACTGATGAGAAGGAAATCAACTCAAGACTTGCTAGTATCTTAAAGTAGTTCATCATAAATTGACATTGATCAGATAATCTAGTTTAATTATTTTATTATTATTTTAAGTTGCAATTTGGACTTATCAACTAAATCATTGTAAATATTTCCAGTAGTTTCAATAAATATTGTTGAAAAGAACAAATTATTTATTTTATATAATTATCCTTATGAATGAACTGAAGGCAATAACTTACAGTATTGATGCTTCAATACAATGGGAAATTGTTTCCAACTTGTATCAGGATCTTTTAGACTTATAATCCATCGCG